GTGGAGGTAAGGTTTATGCCCCCCTCTGTGTAACTCTAAACCTTAAACCCAAAACCCTAAACCCAAAATGCAAAACCCTAAAACATAAACCCTAAACCCTAAACCATATACTTAATCATAAACACTAAACCCCAAACCCTAAACACTAAGAACTAAACCCTAACCCTAAATCCTAAACCTTAACCCTAAACCCTAAACCTTAACCCTAAACCTAAACCCTAAATCCTAAATCCTAAATCATAACTCTGAACCCTAAACACTAAACCCTAAATACTAAGCTCTAAACCCTAAACCATAAACCCTAATTCATAAACTCTAAACCCTAAACCCTAAAACCTAACACTAAACCCCAATCCCAAAACCTTAATCCCTAATTCCTAACCATAAATCGAAAACCCTAAATCTAAGCCCTAAACCATAAATCCTAAACCTTAAGGCTAAATCCTGACCCCTACCCTAATCCCAAAACCCTAACCATAAATCCTAAAGCCTAACCATAATCCTAAACCCTAAACCAAAGCCTTAAAGCCTAAATCGAAACCCTAAACCCTAACCCTAACCCAAAACCCTTAACCCTTAACCCTAAACCCTAAACCCTAAATCCTAAACCCTAAACCCTAAACCCTAAACATTAGACCTACAACCCAAAATCCTAAACTCAAAACCCAAAACCCTAAACATTAAAACCTAAACTCTAAACCCTAAATCCTAAACCATAAACCCTAAACCCAAAACCTTAGACCCTAATACTAAAACCCTAAGCCCTGAAACCTAAACCCTAAACCTTAAACCCAAAACCCTAAATCGTAAACCCAAAACCCAAAATGCAAAACCCTAAAACATAAACCCTAAACCCTAAACCATATACTTAATCATAAACACTAAATCCCAAACCCCAAACCCGAAACACTAACCCTAAGCAATAAACCCTAAACCCTAAACCCAAAAGCCAAAACCCTAAAACCTAAATGCTAAATCTAAACTCTAAACCCTAAATGCTAAACTCTGAAAGTTAAACCCTAAACCCTAACCCTAAACCCTAAACCCTAAACCTAAACCCCAAACGCTAAACCTAAACACTAAACCTTATATCTAAACTCTGTACCCTAAATACTAAGCTATAAATCCTAAACCATAAACCCTAAATCCAAAACTCTAAACCCTAAACCCCAAAACCTAACCCTAAACCCCAATCCCAAAACCTTAATCCCTAATCCCTAACCATAAATCGAAAACCCTAAATCTAAGCCCTAAACCATAAATCCTAAACCTTAAGGCTAAATCCTAAACGTTAAATTGTAACCCCTAAAACTTAATCCCTAACTCCTAACCATAAATCCTAAACCCTAAACCCTAACCCTAAACCCTTAACCCTTAACCCTAAACCCTAAGCCCTAAGCCCTAAACCCTAAACCCTAAACCCTAAACCTTAAAGCCTAAATTCTAAACCCTAAATATAAACCATAAACCCTAAATCGTAAACCCAAAACCCTAAACCCTAAACCCTAAATTTTTAACCCCAAAGCCTATATTCTAAACCCTAAAACCTAAACCCTAAACCCTAAGCCTTAAAACCTAAACCCTAAACCCTAAACCCTAAACCCTTAGCCCTAAATCCTAAACTCTAAACTCTAAACTCTAAACCAACAACCCAAAACACAAAACCTTATACCCTAAACCCAAAACCCTAAACTCTAAACCCTAAAAGCTAAACCATAAACCCTAAACCCTATACTTAAACATAAACCCTAAACACTAAATCTAAACTCAAAACCCTAAGCCCTAAAGTCAAAACCCTAAACCCTAAACCATCACCCTAAACCCTAAATCCTAAACGCTAAAACCTAAACCCTTGACCCTAAATCATTACCTCGAAAGCCTAAACCCTAAACTCTAAACCTACAACTTATCGCCTTAAACTCTAAACCTACAACTTATCGCCTTAAACTCTAAACCTAAAACTTATCGCCTTCTCATTTCATGATTTTTTTCTCTCTTTAAAATTTTTCTCTCTCTTGAGTTCTTCAAGAATTTTCAAAAAATTAGCCATCTCAGCTAATTTGTCACAATTTCAGCATCAAGAACATGGATGGTGGGCTGCCATCAGATAGATTTAGACCACCAGATCCTGTTACAATGTTGAACCAGCGAAATCTACATCCAGACATACATGAATCGTCATCAGACTCAACCTACAACTCTTCGCAGGTGAGAGAAGAGGCGATCCACACTGCTATGGAAAAGGAATTGGACGGGACTCATACATATGTTCCTATGGGAGATTCGAGTCAAATTCATGGCACAAGGGCAAACAAAATGATATCCCAGTCTCATGAGGTACAAGATGGCCAAAAATCATCTGAATTACCAATCCCAATCTCGTGAAATCAACCGGTTACGGCGGCTAGGTCCGTCGGTGAATTGCTTCAAAGGTTCCCTCAATATTGTAACATTCAGGAAGTGATTCGACCAGAATTCGCTATTGGGGATTGTAACACTGATCGTGGAGGACACCCCACTGAAGCTTCAAGTTCATTCCATGGCGGAAACATCAAAAGAAAAGCTTCAGGCGACTCTACAGGAATTTCGACGACGGATTCTGGAAAATTGGTTTCAGCTAAAGAACTGCGGCTATTTGCACAACAAAAAAATCCACATAGAGAAGGTAAACAACATGTCCAAGATTTGGGTCAATCTAGCACCTCTAATATGGAAGATTTCAACAAGAAACATGACAAGGAATCAGGTAACCCTTATATTGATAATTCTCATCCAACTGTAACTTCTGCATATAATATTTCTGCTACTGAGTTTCATAGAATTGAGAATGATCCATCGAAGGCTTGGGTTGCTAAAGAACAGGGCAATTCTGGTAGTTTGGGGCCTGTTCAGGGTACTCAGACGGGGGATACTAATCGAATTGATCAACAACATGATTACCATTCAAATTTTCCTAGAATTTCTAGCAACTTTGATCAACAGGTCCCTAAATCTACTACTAATGATAGAATTGATCGTCCTCGATTTCCTTCTAATACTCTCAAACATGATCAAGTCGCTGAACCTGCTCCTTACACAGTAGTGCAGACCTATGTTGATTGACTTAGACATAATCAGAGCAAATGTGAAGTTAGCATTAATTTGACAACTCCTGAAATTACTACGAAACAAGGTCTACCTGTTGTCCTGTATGTTAAAGATGAGATCATTAGAGATTTAGCAGCAACTTCTAAATTTAATCTCATTGGAAAGTTTAGTACCACCATGCCTAAAGTGGATCTTATTAGGAACAATTTTATTTTACAGACTCAACTTTCCGGTGGAGGTAAAATTGCGCATTTTAATTCTTGACATGTTTCTACTGATCTTGACAATGAGTTTGATTATAATATGGTATGGACTAAACAAAGGATGAATATTTCTGGCAAAGTAATGAGGATTCAAGTATGGACTCCTAGTTTTAAGTGGGCTGAAGAAACTCCTATAGTCCCTATATGGATCTCTTTACCGAAATTAACTTGGCATTTTTATAATAAAGAGTTTGTGACAGGGCTTTTTTCTCCTATAGGAAAAGTGTTATACTTAGATGCTGCTTCTATTAAAAAGACTAGGGGTAGTCACGCTAGGGTGAACGTTCAAGAGGATCTCTCTCAAAAGAGACCTCCTTATATTTGGATAGGCTATATCGGGGAAGATATCACTGATGGGAGATGGCAGAAAATTGAATATGATAATATTCCTCATTATTGTTTCTATTGTAAGCATCAAGGGCATTTGGAAAATGATTGTACCATTAGAGAAAAAGATGTAGAGAAAAAGAAAAAGGAAATAGACAATGTGAGAAGCAAAAGTAATAAAGATATGGATACCAATCAACAACAGCCTAAAGGTTACAAGGATTATGGTCCAAATAATGATAATACCAATCTATATAATCAACAAAAGGATCAGGGACAAAAGCAGGGGCAGTAAGAGGATTAGTGGCACACACAAAGGAGGAGGAATAATAATCAGCAACAAGTAACAAGGGGCAACACCATACACCCAGATCAGTCCACCAAACAGGCAGGTATAATGGCTATTCCTACACAAAATACATATATTAATCTTGATGTGCAGGAGTCACCACCTCCTTTGGAGGAACTGGCCATTCACATGGATAGCAAGCAGGATAGCAGGTTGCAGCCAGCATTAAAACAACAGCAGGAACATGGTGAGCAAATCAGAAAGGTAACAAAAAACAATGATAATATTTCAGGAAAAGAACTGAGTAAAGGGCAAGTTGTTATAGGTATTTACTCAATGCTCCCACCCCCTAAACCCCTTGAAAGTGTTATTGTTATTGAGGAAGATGTTGGAGGTATGGATGGGAGGGAACATGAGACACCTACTAACTTGCAGGAAGTGGTGTCCAAAAGGGGGGGGGGGAACTGAGTCATGCTAGACATGGGGAAGTGGAATTTGACCATAGTGGAGACTCTAAAGCCCCTGCTACCCCAATCAGACATCAACAGATTTTGGGCACACAAGAGATTATAGATACTGGTCTACAACATAATCGAGTCAATAATAAATCTAGGGAGAGGTTGAGTAAAAAGAGAAGGGAGGCTATAAAAAAGTGATTGCAGAAGGATACTGGTCAGGATCCTGCTGTAATTGGTACTAGTACACCTATTAAGGATCAACCTTTGTCTAAAGATCAACAGGGCAAGCTGCTCCCTGATGATTATGTGGCACTTAACTCTGAAGATGAGGTAGATCCTGATACAATCTATGGATGAATCAGAAGAGGATGCAGGTGACACCATGAAGCAGACAGGCCCAGTCTTTGGTTCCAATCTCCAGGATAAATGTTCTGATGTTCAAAGAATGATAGAAGAACAGGGTATATCTCCAAGGGGAAGGAAACAGACTAGGCATATGCCTCATCAGACTATCACCAACATGTCTGAAAATTCTAGCAGGCCAATGACTAGGTCCAAATCGAAAGATTATTAATGATGAAGGCCATTTGTTGGAATGCTAGCGGTATCAACACCAAAAGAGCATTGGAAAGACTACAAACTCTCAAGAAAGCTCATAATCTATCTATTATTGCTATCGTGGAACCATTTGCAGATCAGTCCCATATTGCCATAGTAAAATTGCAACTTCAAATGGATCAGGCAGTCAGTAATCCTAATGGGAAAATTTGGTTGTTTTGGTCTACTAATGTCACTGTACAAGTCCTGGAAAAACATGATCAACATATTATTGTAACCTTTCAACACACAACTCTCCGAGATAAATTCATGATGTCCTTTGTTTATGCTAAATGTAAAGAGTATACGAGGAGATCTTTGTGGGACAGGTTACTTTTATATTCTAATATAGATTTGTCTTGGTGTACTATTGGTGATTTCAATGTTATTACATCTATAGAGGAAAAACTTGGTGGGATACCTTACAATATGAATAAGAGTCTTGAATTTATTGGAGTTATAGAAGCATATGGATTGACAGATCTAGGTTACACAGGGCTTCCTTATACATGGTGTAATCAAAGGGATGCAGAAGCTAGAGTTTGGAAAAGATTAAACAAGTCTATGGTTAATGATAAATGGTTAGAGAATCTGCCTCAAACTACTATTGAGAATCTATCCTCTGTTGGTTCTGATCATAGTCCTCTTTTAATGGAGATGATTCAAACAAATCAGAGTCATACAAAATATTTCAAGTTCCTACACTGTTGGGTTGAAAATGGGAATTTTATGATCACAGTTCAGCAGTGTTGGGACCAGGTCACTACTGGTCATCCTATGTGGAAATTGCATATGAAAATGAATAGATTAACTTCCACTCTTAGCAAATGGTCCAAACTCCATGGTGATATTTTTACTAAGGTTAGGGAGTTTGAAAAGTCCATTAGGAAGTCTGAAGAGGAACTTATGACAAATAATACTGAAGCTCTTAGACAGAAGTTACATAAGATGAATGCAACTTATATTAGGTATTTGAAATTGGAAGAAGCTATTCTTCAACAAAAGACCCAATTACATTGGTTTCAAGAAGGAGATGCCCATACCAAATACTTTCATGCTTTGATGAGAGGTCGGAGAAGGAGGCTCTTTCTTCATAAGATTTGTATTGAAAATGAGGTGTGGATACAGGGTGAGGAACGAATTGCTCAGGCAGCTTGTGATTACTATCAGCACCAATTTACTGGACAAAATGACAGGATAGATGAAAGAATCCTTCAATATATTCCTACTATAATTACTTCTTATCAGAATGAGATGTTGCAAGCAATACCTAATATAGATGAACTCAGACAGGTTGTGTTTGCTATGAATCCATATTCAGTAGGTCCTGATGGCTTTGGGGGTAACTTTTATCAGGTTTGTTGGAATATCATTAAAGAAGATCTTTTGGCTGCTGTACAATTATTCTTCTGTGGTCATATTATACCTAAGTTCATGTCTCATGCCTGTTTGGTTTTAATTCCTAAAACTGAGCAGCCTTCCAGATTCGCAGAACTCAGACGCATCAGCCTTAGTAATTTTACAAATAAGATTATTTCCAAAGTGTTGAGCATGAGATTGGCTACTGTCTTACCTCTATTGTTATCAGACAATCAGTTAGGGTTTGTGAGAGGCAGAAGTATAACTGAAAGTATCATGCTAGCACAAGAGATTAGTCATGCTTTTAAAAAACCCCAAATAGGAAGTAATGTGGTTATCAAACTTGATATGGCCAAGGCATATGATAGAGTTTCTTGGTCATTTACATGTTTTGTTTTAAGGAGATTTTGTTTTGGGGAACTTTTTATTGATTTAGTTTGGAGAATAATGAGTAACAATTGGTATTCTATTATAATTAATGGCCACATACAAGGTTTCTTTCATTCTACTAGAGGATTTAAGCAAGGTGATCCTTTATCCCCTGCCCTATTTATTTTAGGAGCTGAGGTATTAACAAGGATGATTAATTCTTTACATCAGATTCCAAGATATAAAGGTTTCTTTATGGCACCCAAGGGACCACATATCAATCATCTAAGTTTTGCAGATGATGTAATTATATTTGCATCTACTGACAGACACTCTTTGAAACTAAGTATGGACACTTTGGGGGAGTATGAGCATACATTTGGTCAACCTATTAACAAATCTAAGAGTCACTTTATGGTTCCAGACACTACATCACAGGATATTATCAATACTATTCAGGATTGTACAAATTTTTCCCAGAAATGCAGTCCTATTACTTATTTAGGATGTCCTCTATATATTGGTAGAAAAAGGATCATTTATTACTCTCATTTAGTTGAGAAGGTCTCCAAAAAGGTTTGTGGATGGCAGGCAAGGATTCTTAGTTTTGGGGGTAGGATTACATTCATCAAACATGTTGTCCAATCTATACCTATACATACTATGACTGCAATTTCTCCTCCAAACACCACTATCAAATACATAGAGGCCATTATTGGTGGCTTCTTCTGGGGAAGGGACCAGGATAAAAGGAAATATCATTGGGCTTCACTAGAGATTATGAGTTTACCTTGTCCAGAAGGAGGGGTGGGGATGAGAAGACTCACTGATATATGCACTCCTTTGCCATACAAACAATGGTGGACTTTCAGATCAAAAACCTCTTTATAGAGTCAATTTCTTAAATCTAAATATTGTCAAAGAGCTCATCCAATTGCAAAAAAAGTGGACAATGGATAGTCTTTGATGTGGAAGTACATGATGAGGAACAAGCTTAAAGTAGAAGAGCATATAGGTTGGACAATCAAGTCAGGCAGTTGCTCATTTTGGTGGGATGATTGGTTTGGGAGTAGGAGCTCTAGCTCATTATACTACTATTGTATCAAGTCTCAACAATGCTACCATTGCACACTTTCTAACTAATGGAAAATGGAATGAAAGGAAACTGAGGCAACAGGTTTCACCTCTTCTTATTTCTTATATTTTAAATACTAATTTTCATTTTTTGCAGGGAGTTCCAGACAGTGCTGTCTGCAAACATACTGAATCAGGAAAATTCTCATGTACATCAGCCTGGGAAATTTACAGAAATAAGAAGAACATTACAGATCTTAATTCTCAAATTTGGCATAGACATATTCCTTTCAAAATGTCTTTTCTACTTTGGAGGGCCTTGATGAAAAAACTTCCAACTAATGAGAAACTAGGGACCTTTGGAGTGGAACCTGTGAGATGTTCTTGTTGTTATCAGCAAGGATGGGATGAAGTGGATCATATATTCATACAAGGGCATTTTGCAGCACAAATATGGAAAAAAATTTCAACTTCTTTGGCTATTAATGTACAACAGACATCCCTGAGTAGCTATCTCTTAAATTGGCGTGGTAGTCATGTTAAAAATGAAGCTCATAAGACTATTATTTAGACTCTTCCTATAGTTATATGTTGGAATCTATGGAAGAATAGGTGTTCAACTAAGTATGTGGGCAAGACTTCTAGTATTAGCAGGGTTAAATATTGATTATTAAAGTTATTTTTCAGATACTCAGAACTATAATTCCTTATATTAAGTAGCCAGTTCAGTGGTTAGATGTTGTATCTATGGTAGAACATGGTAAACATGAGGTTTGTGTCCTCTCAGTAAGGTGGATACCTCCTCTAATTCTACTTATAAACTGAATACGGATGGTAGTGCTTTGAATAATCCGGGGAAAATTGGAGGTGGTGGTATTCTTAGGGATTCCAATGGTACTATTATTTATGCATTTGCTATACCATTGGGTGAAGGGACCAATAATCAGGTAGAGGTACAGGCTGCCAGTTATGGACTCAATTGGTGCATCCAACATGGGTATCAAAACATCATTTTAGAAGTGGATTCTGAATTACTAACCAAATGGTTTTTGCAGATTTTTGATCCTTCTTGGAGGCTTAACAAGTTTGTGCAGGAACTACAAGATATTGCTAAACACTGTGCTTATGGTCACTGTGTTCATACATACAGAGAAGCCAACAGTACAACAGACTTGTTGTCCAAACAAAGTCACCAGCATGATATCATCCAACATTATTACACCCCCAACCAGTTACCAAAAGCAGTTAGAGGAAGTTATATTCTGGAGAAAATGGGAATTCAAAGTTTCACAAGGAAAAACTGCGAAGGATTAAATTTCCTCCTTAATTGATCTTTTTTTAAAGCACTTCCTCGATTTTCTGTTTCTATCTTTAGCTTAATTATTAACTTAGTTTGGTTGTTTGATTAGGAACATGAGATTCTAGTGGTGGTGGAAATTCTACTGAGGCATACAGTATAACAACATGCATGCTATCTTGTTTAAATAACTTTCAACCATCTACTACTCGGTAATCGAAACCAAGTTCCAAAAGAAGGAATTTTGCAACAAAGGGAGCTTTATATGGTGGTTATCCTATACCAAGAGGTGCAAGTTGGAGAAGTAGAAAGCATATCATTACTACACTTATTGCATTTGGATTCTTGTGATACATTCTTTTCAAATAAGCTATATAGTTAAATATAGCTTCTTGATTAGGCCTAGTTTTAATTTCTCTCCTTGTAAGGGGAGAGTCTCCCTTATTAATGGATTATTAGTAACTTTGTATTAAGAGAGGAGTCCTCTCTAGGTGCTTAGTTTAATATTACATCTCATTGTATAGGGTTGAGTCAACTAACCTTAGTAGGTAGGTTGACTCTTGACCCACCTTAGGACTGGAGGTAAGGTCAATGTCCCCCTCCTTGTATATTTGAATTATATATATGATAAGGCCTAGGGGTGTTGCTCAGCCCCTGACCCCCTCAAGGGTTGTTCTACAAAAAAAAAAGAACATACAACTTGAAACCCTAAACCCTAAAACCTAAACCCTAAACCTGAAACCTTAAACCTTTAACCGACTAGCCTCCTTGTTCAAAGTGGTTGAACAGTTTGCTCCATCCCACTAGTGGGTCAAAGGTTCAAAGGCTGGTAAGGAGAAGGAGAAAAGAAAAAACACACCTTTAACCTAAAACCCTAAAACCTAACCCCAAAACCCTAAACCTTAAATCCTAAACCCTAAACCATAAACCAACAACCCTAAACCCTGAATCCTAAACCCTAAACCTTACTAACCTTAGTAGGTAGGTTGACTCTTGACCCACCTTAGGACTGGAGGTAAGGTTAATGTCCCCCTCCTTGTATATTTGAATTATATATATGATAAGGCCTAGGGGTGTTGCTCAGCCCCTGACCCCCTCAAGGGTTGTTCTACAAAAAAAAAAAGAACATACAACTTGAAACCCTAAACCCTAAAACCTAAACCCTAAACCTGAAACCTTAAACCTTTAACCCGACTAGCCTCCTTGTTCAAAGTGGTTGAACAGTTTGCTCCATCCCACTAGTGGGTCAAAGGTTCAAAGGCTGGTAAGGAGAAGGAGAAAAGAAAAAACACACCTTTAACCTAAAACCCTAAAACCTAACCCCAAAACCCTAAACCTTAAATCCTAAACCCTAAACCATAAACCAACAACCCTAAACCCTAAATCCTAAACCCTAAACCTTAAACCCTGAACCCTAAAACCAAAACCTTAAACCCTAAATTTTAAACCCTAAACCCTAGACTCTTAACCATAAACTCGTAACTCTAAACCATAAACTCTAAACCCAATACCCTAAACCCTAAAACCTAAACCCTAAAATTAAAACCCTCAACCCTTATCCATAAACCCTATACTCTAAACTGTAAACCCTAAACCCTAAAACCTAATCCCTAATCCTGACCCCTATCGCCATCTCATTTCCTTAATTTTTTCTCTCTCTAAAAATTCTCACTAAAAAAATTTCTATCTCAGGCCAAGGAACAGCAGTCCACCGGAATGGCCACAACGCCGCCGAGAAAGCAGCTCCAACCGCCAGACCAAGCTCAGTCGATGCGGATTCCCCTCAACTACAAACCCCAACAGGGCGCTTCATCTGAATCATCAGATAATTCTTCGAAATTGGGACGCATTGAGGCGATCCATATCGCGATTTCAGAAGAAGAATTAGACTGGGCACGAAAAATCATTTCCTTAGAACAATCTGGAAAGATTTAAGTTAATTCGAATAGGAACAATGATTCTCCATCTAAAGATCTACGTTCAGTCGAAAAATCACACAATTCCATCGCTCAAATTGGGAGAACTGAGATGGCTATTTCTGGAGAAATAGCGGAAAAATCGCCTCAATCGCGCCCTCAAATTCGAACACCTTCTGATGAAATGAATGACATTTCAACCACTGGGGAATCTTCCCCAGGCCATGGAGTACATCCTACTGCAATCTTGACTCGTTTGGACGGTGGAATCGCCGGCAACATAAATTCTGACCAAGTTCCTAAAACTCCGGTCAACAATGGCGACGAAACCTTACACCAAACACATCCTTGTGATAAGGACAACCTTCCAGAGGTAACAATATCACTGATTCAGCACGAAAATAACTATGATTGTTCTTCTAACTTGCAGGACAAATTCACATCACCAGTCGAGGATCATAACTCAGGTGAGGAGCTGGAGTCTGCTCGAAGTACCAAAAATTTGAATCAAGGAAACAATCAAGACAAGAATTGCATCCCAATTCAAAGGATGGAAACAATGCAACCTGAAAATGTGGAAAGTAATCCCAAAGAAAACAACGATGGGAATGGTCATGGAGGAAAACAAGGGATTCAATAGGCTGTGATAAAGCAATGGCATGAAGCAAAAAATTCGAAAGACCTAGGACACACTGATACAACAATGGAGAAGCAGCGTGACACAGGGGAGGCTAATAGGAGCTAAAAGAGAAAGCCAATTCAGAAAATGATACAATGCAACATAGCAAAGGTAACAACCACAACATGACTTCAGGTAAGTCACCTAACCTTGATCCTAATTCTAATAATCATATTAACCTCTCATCCGCTGATCCTAGTAATAGTCATAATCGGAGTGGGAAATCTCTTGTTGGTGTGATCGATGGGAAGAATGATGTGGAAACACAAAGTGCTAAAACCATTCAATATGATCGTAACCAAATAGTTCCCAAGATTCCCCCTCCTCTCAAAGTGTCTTCCAATTTTGATGCATACTGACCTGCACAATAAAAAACCAACCAAAACAGCAATTATGAGACCCAAAACAAACTCCTTGCCACCAGTCCATTTAACACAAATAACAACCAAATCCCTGATCCAGCTCCACCAACTGTAACTCAATCTCTCGCCACTAGACTTCGAGCTAACCAAATAAAAAATGCCATTCCTATGATCATTGATCAACCCATCATCACCACGCGACAAGGATATCCCTCAATAACCTTTTATGAAGCGGATTTCCTACAGCAGATGCCAGGCAGGTGTAAGTATACTTTGGTTGGTAAGTTTATCAATGCAATGCCTAGAATGGAAGTCATTCCTAAAAGCTTTATTGCTCAGACTCAATTCACTGGGGGGGTCAAGATAGCACATTTTAATTCTAGACACATCTACATTGACTTGGATAATGAGGTTGACCATATTTCTGTCTGGACAAAGCAAAAAATGTTCATTGCAGGTCACCCTATGAAACTACAGGTATGGACTCCTACCTTCAAACCTGCGGAAGAAACACCTATAGTACCTATCTGGATTACCTTACCAGAACTGCCCTGGCACTGTCACTATATGGATATTCTTACACCTTTACTATCTCCTATTGGCAAAGTACTTTACCTTGACTCTACAACTGTACAAAAAACTAGAGGTAGTGTTGCGAAGGTTCGCGTTCAGATTGACCTTACTAAGGAGAGACCTCAACACGTTTGCCTGGGTTTCTCTGAAAAAGACCCTAATCTGGGCAAATGGCAAGTTATTGAATATGAAGATGTTCCATCTAATTGCATATATTGTAAGCATCAGGGCCACATGATTGGAGAATGTTCACAAAAAGAAAAAGATGAGGAAACCAAGAAAAACAAGGAACTGGAGGCTAACAAAAAGGGACAAGACAAACAGCAAAATCAAAGCTCTAAAGGAAATCCGCAACAGGTTCAAAGCAAGGAAAACATGCACTCAAACATACAAGGCAATGAGAAGAGGCATATTGAAGCTGTTACTGATAATAAGGAGGAGCAATGGCAAATCCAAAACAAGAATAAAAATAGACAACACAGCCAGAATCACGACCCAAAAAAGGTTTGGAAACCACATTCTCAGAAACAGCAGGTCAACCAATCGCAGGTGCAACACATCGAACAGCAAAAAAGTATGAATTCTATGTCCTCTGTGTGTGTGAGTAATGAATCTGGTGATCAGATTCCTACACCCCCTCCCCTGTTATTGTTGATGTTGATCATGGTTCTGATAATGAAATCCCCACCCCTGTAATTCCCCTTGTAACTGTTGATGATCAATGTGATCATAATGATATCCCATCCCCTGCATCCCCCCTGGTTGTAGCTGCTGAAGTTATTGGAGGGAGGCTGGATGTACAGGAGAAAAATTCTAACCTGCAGGAAGGGGTTCCTAGGGGAAGGGTTAATGATCAAGCCCCTGCTACCACTCAGAATAATAGTCCTCACCACCAAAAAAGGCCCATCTAATCAGGGAAGAGGGTAAAGAAACACCAAATCAGCAGAGTAATATCAGTAATGCAAGGAAAAATCAAACCAAAGGGTCTATGGCCAAGGATATGGGAAACAAGGCAGGTCCTAGTAACCTGATGGAAACTCCCAAGAGTAAGAATAAACCTAGCAAAAAAAAGAGGGGAGCTGCCAGGAAGAAACAGAATGAACAGGACCTCCAAAAACAGCCCCCCACTACCAGTCATCCGGAAGAAAATCCATGTACTAACTTCATAATGATGGACCAGATTATGGATGTGATTCCTCTTAATGCTAAAAAACCCCTGATCAACCTGAAGTCAATGTTAGAGATGAGTATAAGGTGGATAACTCAGAGGATGATTTTGATCCGGATAATCTGCCTATAAATGATCTTGATGAAGATGACGAGATTAGTGAGTTACTAATCAAAGCTTTTAGTCCTAACAAGGATCAAGAATTAGAAAAAGAACTTCAACAAGTCACCGACAAACAAAGCCTCTCCCCCAGAGGTATTCACATCGACAGACTCCCCCTCAAAAAACCAGATTCTCCTATTCCTGTTACAGTAGGAAGACCAAACACGAGACTTTTCACCTCTAGATCATCCCAATGATTAGTACAATCATATGGAATGCTAGAGGAATCAACACCCAAGGTGTTATTGAAAGACTCAAAAACCTCAAAAATATCCATCATGTGTCCATGATTGCTGTTTTGGAACCTTTTTCTGATAGCAACAATATCAACATGTTTAAAAGTATGCTTGCAATGGATAATGCTACTAGTAACACCAACGGAAAAATTTGGCTTTTCTGGACCACTGATATTTCTTGCACTGTATTAGATACGGATAAACAACAGATCACTTGTGAAATAAACCATATTGAAGTTCAGGGTACCTATATCAAGACCTTTGTGTATGCCAAATGTAAAGAGCATCTCAGGGAACCTCTTTGGGACTGATTACTTCATTTGTCTGATAATAGAATTACTACTCCTTGGTGTACTGTTGGTGACTTTAATGTTATAACTGACATTGAGGAAAAAATGGGAGGTATACCATATAATATGAGAAAAAGTCTTGGGTTCATTGGCATTATTGAGGCATGTGGACTTATGGATTTGGGATTTAATGGACCTAAATTCACTTGGTCTAATCAAAGGGGTATCAATTTCAAAATCTGGAAGAGGTTGGATAGGGCAATGGTTAACGATAATAGGTTGCAAAAAATGCCTCACACCTGCATCACACACCTCCCTTCTGTGGGGTCAGATCACTGTCCATTACTTATGGAAATGACTCCCAGACCAGACAATTGCATCAAGTATTTCAGATTCCTTAACTGCTGGGTTGAGCAGCCTTCATTTGAGGAGACAGTCACTGCCTGCTGGAACAAACCTGTGGAAGGGAACCCCACGTGGTCCTTCCACCAAAAAATGAAGAGATTGGCCTCTACTCTTAGCACTTGGTCCAAAATGCAATTTGGTGATATTTATGCAGAGGTCAAGGAATTCGAGGAAAGAGTCAAGGTAGTTGAAGACAACCTCTTGCAGCAAACACAGAGAAACATGGAGAAGATCTTCACAGTATTAATGCTGAGTATATTAGGTACATGAAATTGGAAGATGCTATTCTTAAACAAAAATCACAGTTGCAATGGTTTAAAGAAGGGGATGGTAACTCCAAATACTTCCTTGCATTGATTAGAGGAAGGAGGAGAAGATTATTTGTCCATAAAATCCTCAATGATAACAATGAGTGGATACAAGGCGACGAACATATTGCAAAGGTAGCTTGCGATCATTTTCAGCATATATTCACAGGTGAGGAAACAAAGATTGATGAACTCCCTATGGAATGCATTCCAAGAACAGTCAGCCAGGAGCAAAATGAGAGTTTGAAAGAAACTCCTTCCATTGATGAGCTTAAGGAAGTTGTTTTCTCCATGAATCCCAATTCTACCGCTGGACCGGATGGTATGAATGGCTGCTTTTTCCAGAATTGCTGGAATATTATCAAGAATGACTTGATGGCTGTGATTCAAGCCTTTTTCAGTGGCCAGATGATCCCTAAATATTTTTCACATGCATGTCTTATTCTCCTTCCTAAAGTGAAGAATCCTAACATACTCAATGAATTCAGGCCTATCAGCTTGAGTAACTTCATTACCAAGATCATTTCTAAGTTATTATGTCTCCGAATAGCTCTTATTTTATCTGGACTGATTTCTCCAAATCAATCAAGCTTTGTAAAAGGTAGAAGCATATCAGAGAATATTATGCTAGCCCAAGAAATTATCCACCTGATTAAGAAACCTATTATTGGAAGCAATGTGGTGATCAAACTTGATATGGCAAAAGCCTACGACAGGGTTTCATGGTCTTATATTTGTTTGATCTTGAGGAAAATGGGTTTTGGAGAGGTTTTTATTAACATGGTATGGAGAATTATGGCCAACAATTGGTACTCTATCATTCTTAATGGTAGAAG